ACTCCTATCCTTAACACCTTCTGAATTCACCTGTCTTCGTTTCCCTTCGATGCCTGCAGCTAAACATTTCAACACCTGGTTATGTCGCCATGTATATCGGCCTTGTGACAAGCTAACTTTACAGCCTGACAAAATATGCTTTAAGGTTGCGGTACGTGAACACAATGGGCATGATGGGTCCTCATTTACCCACAGTTTTAGGTTCTGGGGGGTTGGTAACACATCGTATGTAGCCCCTACCAGGAATCTAATACGATTCTCCTCCATACTCCACAGGTCCCTCCAACTAAGCTTCCTCTTCTCTACACTTTCCCAATTCAACCACTGTCCCTGTTTAGCCTGGGCCACTACCTTTGCACCCCTTACTATCTCTTCCTGTCTGCGTATCTGTTCTACAACCAGCTTTCTTTTATCTTTGAGGCCTGCTGTATTCCATACCGGTTTACCTGAGCCAAGCCCCAGGCCTCCCCGGCCAAACTGAACATTACCTACAATCTCTGCATGTCTAAGAGCTGCCTCTGCCTCCTGAACTGCCGATCTTGGGTTCCACTTCCTCCCCTTGGTTGGATTTGGAACCACACTCCTAACTACCACGTCCTTACTCCCAGATAACAAGAGCTCTGTCCTGACCTTGGTACATTTAAATTCCTCTGTTAAACTAGATACTGGCAGCTGAAGTATCCCTTTTCCATACAATGCAACACTACTTAGGCACCTAGGAGCGCCCAACCACTTCCTAATGTAGGAGCTAACCGACCTTTCCATTCTCTCCACAACAGATATTGGAATTTCATAAACTGACAATGGCCACATTAACCTAGGATATAGCCCAAATTGCAAACACCACAACTTCAACTTTCCTGGAAGTTCTGATTTATCTATTCTATCCAATCCTTCAGCCACATCTTTTCTAAATTTCACCACCTGTTCCTTATCATTCAACTCTACATTGTACCACCTACCTAAGCTCTTTACTGACTTTTCCCTAATTGTTGGGATGTCCTCATCATCTATGACAAACTTCCTATCACTTAACTTCCCTCTACATATCGAGATGCTTCTAGATTTACTAGGCTTGATTTTCATGCTGGCCCACTTGAGGTTCTTATTTACCTTCTCTAGTAGCCTCTTTGTACATGGCATTGTTGTGGTCACCAGTGTCATGTCATCCATGTAAGCCCTAACTGGTGGAAGATGCAACCCATTCTGCCGTCTCTCCCCACCTACCACCCACTTAGAAGCCCTGATGATTACTTCCATTGCCATAGTAAATGCTAATGGAGAAATTGTACACCCTGCCATGATGCCTATTTCTAGCCTCTGCCAACCTGTTGTGAAACCTGCTGTACTTAGACACAACCTAATATCCTGAAAATATGCTTTCACTAAGTTAACAACTACCTGTGGCACTCTGAAGTAGTCAAACGCACTCCAAATGAGGCTGTGCGGTACTGAACCAAACGCATTTGCAAGATCTAAAAATATTACATGTAGGTCCCTTTTGTTAATCTTCGCTGCCTGAATCTGGTGCCAGATCATGCTAGTATGCTCTAAACACCCTGAAAAACCTGGTATTCCTGCCTTCTGCACCATGGTATCTATTAAGCTATTCCTTTCTAAGTAGCTAGCTAGTCTCTGCGCTACTACACTAAAGAAAATCTTCCCCTCCACATTCAAGAGAGAAATCATCCGGAACTGGCTAAGGTCCACAGACTCCTTCTCCTTAGGAATGAGGACACCCCCTGCCCTACGCCATGCTCTTGGTATAATTTGTTTTTCCCAAACTATTCTTAGCTGTTTCCACAAAAATTTAAGGGTATCAGGCGCACTTTTATAAACCCGGTAGGGGACTCCATTAGGCCCTGGGGCCGAAGAAGCCTTTGCACGCCTGACCACCTCCTGAACTTCCTTCCACCTAGGTGGCCTGACATCCATCTCATGCTCTATCCCTCCTAATGGAGGGATATCAGGTGGGAAACCTACTATCCTATTCTTCTCCAAATCTGAATACGTGTTTCTCAAATATTCTTCAACCTCTAACCTTTCTGCTTTAAGCTGCCCTCCCTTTTCCTGGCTGAACAATCCTTTAACAAACTTAAAAGGGTCCCTGAAAAAACCTGTCCTAGCATATTCCTTCTTCCTCCTCTTTTTCCTGAGATGCTCCGCCCTTCTAAGAACTGCTAGCCTGCTTCTCAACTCCTCTTGCAACACCTTAATTCCCTCCCTTTCTTCTTCTGTAGCCTTTTTCCACTGCTTTCTTAACTGTCTCCTTTCCTTGACTAACTTCTCTATTTCTCTCTGCCGCCTAGACTTACCTGACTGTACCCTCTCACTCCTCTTTCTCTCATGCACCCCAAACCTCTCTACACCATATGAATACATTATATCTCCCATCTTTTCTAACCTTTGTATTGCATTTCCTCTAAGCCTACTCAAGATTACTGACAAGTCTCTATTAACTATCTCCCATTCTTTACTGTCATTTGCTCTAGGCCATCTAACTCTAACCTTTTGCTCCATAGTTCTTTCTCTGGCTAGCATACTGGCCTCAGTGTCACCTGCATCCTCTCTTACTACCCCCTCCTCCTCAGTGGCAGCGTTACTGATATCCTGCGAACTGTGGTTTTCTACCTGCCGCTGGACTTCATCCGACTGACTCGACTGACTTCTTAGGAAGTACTGATCAATGCGGCTACTCTGCCCTTTCTTTGCCACACACTTCTTCTTTCCCTGATGAGTTCTGAGGCCTTTCACTGATGTTACTTTCTGCCAGCCGCAAGGACAAACCTGAAGCATCTTGTTCTCAACTATGCTACTTTTGCCCTCTACAGATGCGCTCACCTTGCCCTGAGTGCTGCTAATTCTAGCACTGGTGGATAGGTCCGTGCCCCTATCCTTCACTGAGTCACCGGTCCAAGTCATAGTCGTGTCCTTTCCAATGTCTGTTACCGTGTAATCCACCTGTGAGTCATCTTCCACCCCTGCTCTCGCTGACTCTTGGGGTATTTTCCCTATGTTGGCTGTAGCTAATTTTGGTTGTAATAAGGCTGCTAGGCCTCACCACTGCTACCATGGGTTGCTAACCCATGCCAGCACCGCTGGGGTCTTTTCCCTCCTGTCAGCTGTCTTTCCAAGCGGTCACATGGTCTTTCCCTTGTTGTCAGCTGCCCTATTCACAGCAGTCACTAGCTGGGCTAGTTCTGAATTCAAATAAACACAAGAAGTTTGTGCTCTAGAAAAGGATCAGCACAAAATTATATTCAATTACAATCGGGCTTGGGTCGGATTCGGTTAGCTTTCATTGAAAATGTAGTGTAAAAATAATAAAATAAAATCATATTGTCTGTACTGTTTATTGCTTGGGGACTGTTATTTATGTGACAACACCTGAGCACAACACACACACACACATTGGCTGTTTGTTTCTACCACTCCCCTCGCTGGAAGCCTCGGATCTTCCGCTGCCCGCCTCCGTCTTGATTAAACGGTGAAAATAAAAGAGGGAGACAGGTTTTCCTATTTTATCTTATTTTGTTATATGTCTCCCTCTCCTCTCGCTGGAAGCCTCGGACCTCCCGCCGCCTGCTCCTGTCTCAAACACGGAGGTCTCCCTCTCAGCGGAGCACCCACGGCGCACGCCCGGCCTGTTAAATAGCCTGTAACCATAACAACTGTGTGACACAAACTCAGTGCTTTACTCATTAAATAATGTCGGGCTCGGTTCGGTTTCAAACATAACAAAACAGAGTGACTGTCAGGTTCGGACAGAAATATGTGGCCTGTGCCGCACTCTAACACACACACACACACACACACACACACACACAGACACACACACGCTCACACACAAGGAGAACAGGACATTATCATCAATTTATGAACACGCCCCGGACAGGACGTGAAAAGTGGACATGTCCGGGCAAAAGAGGATGTTTGGTCAGCCTAGTTTATCATACACTGACCTCTGGCCTATGACTTGAGCCAATCATCGTCATCCAAATGTATTTGCATCATAGGTAGTGGACACAGCCAAAAAATGCATCATCAGTACATCATCTGCTGGTTTTATCACAATTTTGTTTTAGTTTTTTGCGCAACTGCCTCCAAAAATGTTTGTGCACACGACTGATGTGTAGCTTTAACAATACAAAGGTTAAAAGAACCAAGAAGTTGGTGTTATATTTATTTTGTATGGATGCATATATGTCTTAATATTGTAATTTTCTTTTACATCAATCTATGCCCTTGAGTACAAATATTTTCACACTTTTAGAAAATCCAATTTAACTGGCCACATTTTCACTAGAGAATCATACAACAAAGACAAATGCAGTTCATGAAAGTAAGTCACAAGCTGTTACAAGCAGACAACAATGGGGTCAAAATTCCTTTGTGTAATTGTTGTTTTAGTCACATTTCTTTCAAGCGCTCTCATCACACTCCCACTTTATTTCTCCCATGAGGCCAGCTTGACATTTTTTTCAAGTGTTCATATATTTCTTCATGTTAATACCATTCAGAAATTGCTTATAGCACGTTGATACTATCTCCACATGTTGTGGAGTGATAAGGCTGCAGGTAAAGATCCCATTCAAATTGCCTCTCTCCAGTGCTGCTCTCCTCTCCCTATCATCGTCCGGCCTGGCCCTGGTGGCCTGTTGTGTATCCTATTAATATGTGCATTTAAGCTATTGTGCTGTCAATACTGTGCTGACCCTACGGCAAATCTGTTCTGCTTCAGCTAAGATAATTGTTATCTTCTGAGGCGTGCAAATAGACTTTTGGAATAGATTCTGAAGCCTTCATTCAAAATGAAATAAATGGAGGGGAAAAAAAAAGTTCAGAAGGCGATGAATAGAGAAATGATATCATATCCCAGACAGGAAGTAGTTTCTAATTTGATTCTTATCATCACTTTTCATTCAATTAACAACTAATTAATTGATAACTAAATGAGAGAACCAGTGATGGGCTGTTTCAGTTTTTGTCCCTCTCCTCAGACAGACTATCATGGAGGATGGGACTCTACGCATCACCAACATCTCCAAATCTGATGGAGGCATGTACACGTGTCTGGCCAGAAACCATTTTGGAACATCCAGCAGCACGGGGACACTGGTGGTGAAAGGTATTTCTTTTCTTTTCTCCACAGGTTTTCACTACAGTACCTTTCAAGCCAAGGGTTTAAACTTTTGTTAAGGGAAAAAAATTCTAGCTCAAGCATGAAATTGATAATGAAATATATAGCAGTTTTATGTTCCCGCCGGTTTGACAGACGTATAAGTCATCCATGGTTTTGTCAGCTGTGAGTTATTGTTCATGTAGCAGAGTGGGGCAAACCACCGCCGTCTATGGCTGTGAGTGAGGAATATTTTGTCACTAACATTTAATTTAAAAAGAGCCGCTGTAGCATTTTCAGATTTGGGTTTTTAAATAATGATGATTATAGAGAGGGAGAGTTCTTTTTCCCTTTCTAGTTGACAGTGTGATTGCAGTGTGCTTAATTATTCATTACTGAGGTATGGGAGGCATTCGCTTTCTAAGTGAAGTTATTTAAGGTCACTTAATTACACTGATAGAGCAGAATCTGTCGCACTATTCTGGGCAAATTAAGCTTTATTACCTTCTTCATTTTGCTGGATTTTATAGAGATACCGTGCTGTACACTGTAACAAATAATTGTCCCTTTTTCTCCCATAATGCTGCAGAGCCTACCAAGATTATAGTCCCACCCTTGAGTTTGGATGCTACTGTGGGGCAGAGCCTTGTGCTGCCATGCGAGGTGTCCAGTGATTCGTCCCTGAGTCCCATCTTCAAGTGGTTTTTCAATGGGAAAGCCATTGATTTCAGCAGGCAGGAACACTTTGAGATGATTGGAGGGGTATGTATAACATAGATAAATGCTAGTTGTTGTGGGATTTTAGGCAAAGAAAATCAGTGCCAAGGATGTGACCTACATCACTTTTTTCATGATAGAGCTGATATCAAAGCTGCTAAGAGCTATGCTTTTCTGCTACTTTGCTTCTATGATATCTGATCTGTGATATTCATAGATAATTTTCCAAAATGCTTCTCAACCATCTAATTCTTCATCAAACCCTAGATTCAAAATATATGCATTTAAACAATGGTAACAGGCTTTGTAACACCAGGGGGCCCACTGCAGCTATTCAGTCATAGAAGAAACAAAGATGTAAAAAAGCAGTTTGACATTTTGGGAAACATGCTCATTTGCGTCCTTGCTGAGAGTTTGATGAGAATATTTCTACCACTCTCATGTCTCTGCATTAGGTATGGAGCAGGGGCCAAGAAGAAGTCAGTTTAGTTTAGCATAAAGCCTGGGAACAAGCAGGAAGGGCAACCCTGGCTCTGTCCAGAGATAACAAAATCCATCTACCAGCACCTCTAAATCTCAGTAATTAACATGTTATATCATGTTTGTTTAATATGTACCAAAGAAAGTCTGCACAGACTTGATAGAGGAGAGATAATGTGGTAATTAGTGAGCTTGAGTGAGGCTGGATAGAGCCATTTGCAAGGCTCGCTCTTTCCCAATTTTAAGTCTATATGCTATAAACTGCTGCTGGCTGTAGCTTAATTTCTAATGGACCAATATAAATGTCAAACTATTCTTTAATTAGTGAGCTTTTGGGTTGCTGGTAAGTGAATTTCTGATTTACCTCCAGTCTTTATGCTAAGCTAGGCTAACTGCCTCCCGGCTCCAGCTCCATGAACTACACATATGAGAATGGCATCAATCTTCTCATCTAATTCCGGGCATGAAAGTGAATATGGCTATTATAAATCCTTTTTTAATATGTAATGTTTCTTTATGTACATGTTAGGCAATTCATTGTTCTACTAATTGGCTGGATGTCTATTTCCTTAAAAAAACAAATACACAGCTTTAATTTGAAGTTCAAGGGAGACTCGTTGGTACCCACAGAACCCATTTCCAATCAGATAACTTGAGGTGAGAGCAAGGCTTAAAGTGAAAAATTTTCCTGAGCCTGAAACCTGGGGGGGACCTTAAGATTACTGCATCCATCTGTTGCACAAAATGCACACAGCAGTGTTTCCCCTAGGATGGAGTTGTAGCAGTGGAGGTGAAGCACACGCATGAAAAATAATTTTCACATGCATGAAACTTTTTTGTATGCTTGCAAAGCACAGCTTGCTGGGATGTTTCTATGTATCTACTGGCACCAGAAGGGCTCTTTAGGACTAAGTACATACAGTACATGTGTGCACAGTATGAGCAGGTGAAATGTCTGTCTAGCTTATATATGAGGTGTCTCAAGATTTAGGAACATACAATTTTATTGAACATAATAAAAGTAAAAAGTCACATGACATGCTGCTGTATTGTGCTATGACCTATTTAAGTGCTGGAAGTTGTTATTTAAGTGACAACACCTGAACGCAACACAAGCTCAGGACCAAATGAGTGCCGTGCTGCGCTGCTGTGCGAGCAGCGTGTTTGTCTGTGCGTAACAGCAGTCTGTTGATGGCTATTTACACACTGTCCATAACAATAACTATGTCAGCTGACAAATTGCACCAGGCTCGAGGTCAGGTTATGTCAGGAAAATGCGGCCTGAGCCACTCTAGCATGCTTACCTGTGTGTGTGGCGTAACTCCGCCGTGCGCGATACAGAGAGCAGAGGAGAATTGTCAACGTGTGACCATGTAGAGACAGAAATGACACGATGACATAACACCATAAATAGTATATCATTGTTATTATATGAAGCGTATTCATCGCGCAAAATAATATGACTTTAGTTTATGAAGAGAAAAGACGGAGCCCTCTCCTCTCCTCTTAGATACTTTACTCGCAAGTGTTTGAACTGACCTGGATATGAAGCATCGGTAGCACCAAATAATAACTAAGAAAAGAAAAACCAGTAGCAACGATCATATTTCAGCAGTGGCAGTGCACCACTGCTAGCTGCATATATGGGAAACATTGCACTGCATGCTGTTTTCTCTCAGTGTCCGATAGCTGGCGGTCAAGTTAACACAAGCTAATCATTCAAGCGCAGTTCAATTGTTCATTTCTGTTGCACATTCACCCACACTCATTTGGATATGAGGCTGTTATGGACACCTAAACACCATGTGCTTAGAAGTAGTGTGGGTTGAAACCCTGTCCGTGTGTGTGTGTGTGTGTGTGTGTGTGTGTACATGCCGTTTTTAGACCCTCCCCACTCAGCTCTTATTGGCCAGCTGAGTTTGATAACACTATACTATTGGTAGAACTACCCATGTGCTTTGCTGAAAATCAGAAGATGATTCGTTAAATGCTAACTTATGCCAAAAAGTTGCCCAAAAAAAAAAAAAACTAGAAATGTCTGTCAAGCCGGAAATCCGGCGCCAGTGCTGGAGTACTTTAAGCCCTATGAGAGTACAAGGGACTCTTTTGAAAATGACATCGCCAGTTATTCCCTCGCCAAAATTTAGTCTAACTGTAGAGCATTATTTAGCCCGCTTTGAAGCTAGCATGGCATGGTTGATACCAGTAGATGCCTTAGGTGACTTGTCCTCAATCTTTTTGGTGTCAGACCCTTAAATTGATACACATTAGGTCTTAAACTGCCATTTCAATAAGATTTCGCTTCAGGTACTTATTGGAATATCAGAAAAGACTTTTGTTGTTAGACATGATTCAGACCAGAGTTCTGTAGCTGTCATGTACAGTTTAGGAGATAACCACAGAGGCAGTGAAACCTCACCAGAATACTCACTCTTATGACCCTTAGTCACACTGGGCTCACTTCTATAGGTAATTGAATAGTGAAAATAAACTATTCTCCATTTCCCTGGGGACCCCATAGAACTCCTTCAAGGACCCTTGGGAGTTCTTGGACCAGTTGAGAACCACTTGCTTAGGTCATTTGGTTTCACAAGATACCACTACATTTGCACCAGCTTGGTTGGGGGCAGTGGGAGGGCCAGCAATTGTATCATGGTGGCCATGGCCCCCACTGGTCCCCTGTTGGGGGCGCCACTGCATAAAAGCACAAAGGGAATTGTTATTTTAGGGTTTCCTTTAAGACCATCTGTCAGAACCTGTGTACACTTAATTCATAGAGCCAGCAGGTGTTACTGTGTGTTATGTCTGAGGGGCAAACCTGTAAACAGGGATGACATTTCTCTATACCAGAGGTGATCTCACTGTATGAGCAAATCAATCAATTTCTCCCCGAACAAAGGAGTCTAAATGTTTGTAATTACGAGATTTATGCTCCCTCTGATCGAGCACACCAGGCCCACTCAAGTCTCTGCACAGCACTGACATTTCCACAGTGAACATAATCACAACAGCTGTTTAGCTTGCCTTTTGCTTTCTACACAAAGGGACTGATTTCTGTATTTTGCTGCAAAAAAACTTTTGATAAAAACGTGTGTGCGCACAGCAGAAAAGTGCAAAAAGCAACACTAACAAGTCCTGCTAGAGCCATTCATCTGAGCTGCAAGGGTAAACACTGATCCAAAGAGAAAAAAAAACCAGTTTCAAAACAAGTCATTTTTGTGGAGCCTTGCTTACAATGTAAAGCTGAATTAATTTGTTTTGCTAGACTGTCATGTCATCTTTTTTTCTAGTCGTACTGTGGTGAATTCTTCCAAGATTCTTTTGTGGAGGATTTACTGTGTATGACTGAGAAAGAAATTTAATGTGTTCTGAGGAGTTTCCATACTTCCTTTTTTGACTTTGACTTTGCTACTTTTGGTGTTTTTCTTCCTCTGAAATACTTTTCTGCAAATGTGTCTTTCTCATCAGGGATTTGCAGGTGACCTGATGGTGAGGAACATTCAGCTAAAGCATTCGGGGAAGTATGTGTGTATGGTGCACACTGAAGTTGACACTGTCTCAGCAGCAGCAGACTTAATTGTCAGAGGTATGCCTCTTCCTCCTTTCTTACAGTGCTTGTCATTTTGTAGGACTCTCTATGGAGATTTCAGATCCTTTTTTTGTAGTGTGTTTCTTAAGATTGTGACACACACATCTCACTGCTGTCAGATAAGAACTGTATCACCAAGATGTCACTTTTCAGAGATTCAGAGATAAACAGCTTTAATACACTTTCAGATTGACAACCATGAATTTTTTTTAAATTAATTATTCTGTTTTTTAGCCATGGGCTCTATGATCATCACACTTACCTTTTATTAGACACAGGTAAGTTACTCCAGAAGCTTCAGGGCTATCAGATAAGATCAGAGACCAGCTTCATGCAAGAATAAAAACACTTTCTAAAGGAGGTTTTCAACAAATTCAACAGCATATATTCTGTGAAGGACATCTTTGATGATGAATCGTAGGTATCTTAAATAACTCTGCACATAAATTTGAGACTGATGTTCTAGCATCAGCGATTGATTCATTTCAAGGTTCCTACATGACTTTTGATGCATTATTTTGGACATGCAGATTTGTTTCTCATTTTGAAGTTACAAATGTGTAAAGAATGAGTCAAGGAAAGAAAGGTCATGACGTCAGTGACAGCATTCAAATTTTTCATTTGAGCCAGAGTTTGGTGCCACTTCTACTGAGGTCAATGGGGTGGGCATGGCAAATCACACTATAACCCATCATATATTTGTTGTTTCACCTTTTACTGAAATATCCTTCCAGGAAATTTATAACACACATTACATGACGTTGACTTACCTTTATTTGTCTAAATTTCAGCATTTCATTTCTTGTTAAAGGCCTCCAAACAGATTACAGCTCTGTCTGTCATTATGGGAGAAGACGAGGATCGCCATCTTCTTGTTTAAATTTGAAAGCGTCATGACCCTTCCTTCTTTTATACAGTAGTTTTCTTGGTAGCTGACAGAAAAGCAATGAAAAGGTCTCAGTGATTTTTTTATGGTACAATATTGGAATTTCTAACATTGATACAATACTATTTTCAATACCATGTCAATAGATTGACATTGAGGGCATAGAATTATAATTTTATATCAAAAGGTAAATAAGCAGAGTGATTGTAGTAATTAAAAGAGCTATATGTAAGAAATCTAAAGCAAATAGTCATAAAATCCTCCTAATATGTCACAGAGAATAAAGAATAATGTTCATATAACATACTGATCTCACCGACAACAATAGTACAGCCAGAATATTCGCATTTAAAAAACATTTTTACAGTCCGCAAATCATGTTTATGTTTTGAATTTGTGTTTTGGCCTGTTGCGCCACCCACTGCTGTCTACCAGTCACGCAGTCACAGTTACGACTGAGCTACAGCAGCACCGCAAACAGCATTAGCAGTGTCCCAGTACATTGCATTAGCAGCCGGCTCCTCCTCAGTTGTTTCTCGGCTGCAGCGTTAGCAGTGTCCCAGTACATAGCATTAGCAGCCGGCTCCTCCGCTGTATCCCGGCAGCAGCGTTAGCAGCAGAGAAGCAGGACTTGCTCAAAAGGTCCGCTGGAAAACCGAAGATCAAAGAAGCGGCGACACAGCCCTGCCACGGCAGCAGCCAGTGGACAAACAAATCAGTCTCCAGCGTGCCGCTGTCCAGCAACCTCGAATCTGTAGGGGAGGGGGGGCGGACACGACTCGCGGCAGTATTTTGAATTTGAGTGCAGTAACCATTTTGGCCACATTCTTACATACAGCGCCTTTAACAATATGAGAGAGCAAGACAACACAGCTACTAGTGGTGAAACTTGTGTTTACAAGGACAAGTCCTGAGAGTGGGAGGTTGTGTGTGCAAAGGCAAATTCCATATACAAGATCAACTCTGAATTTCATATATGATGGCACAGTGCAGTACAGCATGCTCCAAAAATGTTATGGAATATAAATAGTAGGGGTGTGGTGATTCATTCTTATGTTTTCAGCCAGTCACACTATTGGCCCTATCTATTTCACTGTAACCAGCTGTGCCAATCACAGTCAGTCAGCCATGATTAAAATGGATAACCAATTGGAGAGGAAAATAATACTGTTATCTCGGAGTTTCAGACTGGCAAAGCGTGACATCAGCAGCTTTTACATACCAATTGTATGTTTCTCTATGCATAATCTGAAATGGAGCATTGTTGATACCCAGTGATCTTCTTCCAGCAGCAGGTAGTCCCGCTGAGGGCTCAGTGCTACTTTTGCAGATTTATGGGCTTAGCAGGAAATCTCATGTCAGTTACCCAAGTCCCAGCCTGTTGTTTGATCTCATGTTGCTGCTTTCACTAATGCCATGAGATCCCAATTGAAAATCTGCCTTGTTTTTCCAAATCCATGGTCATTAATGGTCTCTAATGTTATTCTTAATTAATTAATTTTTTCCTCTTGGTTAGCTAGTTTGGGTAACCAGGCTCTCTTGGTGAATGTACACATGTCTCCAGGCCAGAAATACTTCCTCTTATTGACAAGGTTGACCTAAACATGGTTCTTTTCATAGCTAAAAAAAATGTAGATCTTAGATCATGATTAGAGAAGTGATAATGCTGTATCACAGTTCAAGAGCAGGGTTATTTTAAAGGAATACTGTGTAAGATTTAAGGGGATTCAGTGACATCTAGTGGTAAGGATTGCAGATTGCAACCAGCTTAAACTTCTCCCGCTTAGAATCCCTTCACTGTTCATTGCTCAGGAAGTTTTTACCTGGAGTGAAATTATCTTTACAGATCTCTTCCTACCCAGAACAAATGGACCAGGTGATTAAAACCAGTAAAAACACTGAAGAGAGCAGATTCACTTAACAAATCTGCATTTTTCCGACACCGTTTGGCATGTTGGAGTCAGGCTAGCCCAGCACCTGCTAATGTGTGCTTTCTTTTTTTCTTTGATAACTTAGGATCCAGACATTCAGGACATTTTAACCTGGTGCTGCATTATATGACAAGTCTCTTTCTTTCCAAAACAAATAAACCTGGTGATTTAAACCGGTAAAAACACTTAATAAAGCAGTTTCATGTAAAAATGTGAATGGCCCTATCTAGAGCTAGTGTATGAATTGTCCGTTCTAGCCTACTGTTGAAACATGGCAGTGCAACATGCTGATATCTGCAGACAAGGACCTACTCCCAACTTAGATATAAATATCTCATACTAAGGTAACAAAAGCATGACAGCTCTTAATTATACACTAAAGAAAACATACTTATTATATTAAATATATTATATTATATTCCATGTATGCCAATATACCCCCCTAAATCCTACACACTGGACCTTCAAGCTAAAATGTGAAACTCAACTTGAATAAACTCATTGGCCTTATAGGTAAACCGCCTCAGTCGACCCTAAGTGAACTGCACTATTCAGTGTATTGATTAGAATGGTACTCCCAATAGCAGCTGTTATATCTTTACGAGCCCTGAACTGAGATTGTTAGCTGAGTTATGAATCACTTGACAGCTGTGGTGGGCTTTGAGTCTGCCATGCTAACCTAAAGTGATTTCATTTGATTTGGCTGCTGTTGTGCAGTGTGGCTAATATCCGCCTTTGTTTCTGGGTGTTGTAGGACCTCCTGGTGCCCCGGAGGGCCTGGTAGTGAGTGATATTACTGACACCACTGTGCAACTGTCCTGGAGCTCTGGACCTGACCACCACAGTCCTGTTACCATGTACATGGTGCAGGCCAGGACCCCCTTCTCTATAGGCTGGCAGACTGTGAGAACAGGTAACAACTGCACCACCGACAAACACTTATTTTCAATGACTGTAGGTCACTGCTGTGGAGTTACATTGTAATATGTGAGTCTGTGCTCATAGGAGACTTTACTCTTTTCTCAGATGCAAATACTTTTTGTTTAGTGAGTGGTCAATAGACATATTTTGGGGATTTCAGTACTGTAATTTATTGTTGGCTATCAGCTGAAGCCAGAGATATATCTGCAATAAGCTAATACTGGCCTGGCAAATTTAGAGACTGTCCTCCTTCAGAATACAGCCACATAGGCCATTTATACAAGAAGCTTATCAAGCCCCTTGAGGCTGGCTCCAAGTCAGACTCCATAGACCCCACTGTTGAGACCCCAGTGGGGGATTCATTTTTATATAACTCACTCATTTAAATGTTAGCAAGGCCTAAAGAAGAAGATCCGCATGATTAAGGATGTGGCCACACCAAATGACAATTAAGGATGTGGCTGCACCAAATGACAGGCTATCTGTGAAGTGTCATCTCAGCCTATAAATTAGATCCACCCGTAGCTTCTTCAATCCTTTTGCCCTAATATGGTCACTTATGGCTCCACTAAACCAAGGTAGCGACGGCCACAATGCCAAAGTCAAGGCTTTAAAATGGGAGCCCACAAACCAAAGGTTGACATTGTGGTTAGGTCTATTATTTGTATGCTGTCTATGAGTAACACAGTCCACTTAGGGTGGGAAATAGAGAAGACAGATGGTCAAACAAACACAGGACTTTCATCCAGGAAACCTCTTTTTGTGTTCTATGTAAAACCAAAATGTTATGTTACCTTTGTAACCAACAGACTTGAGACCAAACCATGACTATTCTTTTATACGTAACCAAGAAGTTTTGTTGCCTAGTTTTGGTGCAACTGCAACTATGTCACAACATTAATCACATGTTAAAAGCTGTGACCATTATGGTCATATACCAGCTACTCTGTCTTCCACAAGTACAGTAGGTGTACTTATTGAGCAAACGCTCCTGTGGGTTGTCCTAGAGGGTAGGAACATAAGACCTATGTGGCATTATGGGTTGGACGACTTGTTGTCAATTCATCTGTCAAGCTCTTGTTAAGTTGGCGACAGTATGTGTACAGTTTGGGGGAAATACATGCCTGCCATGACCAAACCTTTGAAAATAAACAAAACAGAAAAATTCCGCTCCGCATTACCTACAGTAGCAGCAGTCTGGACCAGCAGCTCTGGAGTTCACACAAAACATAGAGAGCACATCAATAACAGCTGAGAGTCAGGGGTAAAATACATAAACTGACTGAATTAAAGACACAATTAAGTATTTTAAATTAACTTAGCAATCCACTACAACAGCCCTACATTAAATCCTGTCTTAATATGTCTGTCTAATAATATTCAGTTTTTTAGACACCACGTCAAAGAGGCTTTTCAACTTAGACTGTAGTAAGCGGTGCTGCTGTGTTAGTATGAAAGGTATTTGGAATAATACAGCGGATAATGGGGATGAACAAAGTATTAGAAACATATGTATCTCTATTCTTTGTGGATAAAGGGTAAATGGCATTATTTCTCTTTCTGGATTAGAGTCCTGATTATTATTATCCTTGTGCCTGTGTAGGTCTTTAAGGTTATATTAAGTGAGTATGAGGAAATATAAAGATATCAGCCTTCTCTTCGTATTCCATGTACTCCACGCCCCATGCTAAACCAGAATATTTGTTAAAAGTAAGCATTAAAGGCTGATTAGGTGAATTGCCTTTTTCCTCAGATCTAAATTAATTTCACCCTTCTTTAACCTCAACCCTGGTTAATTTAAGATTACAGTTTTATCTGAAAGATGCTGATTAAAAACATAACAAGCTGGTTGCAGGAAGATGTTTATGTCAGTGATGTCAGCCATGTTAAGCGAAGCGACCTCCTATGACAGCCTCTTAATTCTATTTATTAATTGCATTTATGTGTAAAATTACATAATGGCGTGCAGGCATTGCTGTGCAGTATCCGCAATAATTGCAGAACGTGTTGGGTCCTGAACATACTGTAATTAGAGTACTACTGAAAGGTTAACAAATGTCACCATTTCATCTTGATGTACCTCACTGGTTTGTGAAATGTTTTAATATTTGTTGCAGACAAAATGTGAAATGTGCCTCAGTAAAAGATAAAGAAAAGGAAAAAAAAAGACCACATCTCAATTCTAAATTCTTTAATCCTAGTTCCTGATTCTGTGCCTGGACAGATGATGCATGCAACAGTGAAAGATTTGAACCCCTGGGTGGATTATGAATTCAGGGTGGTGGCAATCAACAGTGTTGGCGTTGGAGAACCCAGCACGCCATCAAAACAGATTCGAACCAAAGCAGCAGGTATCCTCTCAATTTGTTGTTTCTCTTCATAACAAATTAATCAGCCCCACTTGGAAAATGTAATTTGACTGTTTCCTTCAGCGCTCCCTGTGATGTTGCTCATCTCAAATGTGTTTTCATGCCAATACTTTGATTACTCAGTCACGTGCAAAAGAAGTGGAAATTGAAAACTTTTAAACATTTAAGTATCAACACTCCGCTTTTGCATGTCAGCACTCTGGAACATTATTAATTAATAGCTGCATCAACGGGAAAAAAATGTGACCTTTCCACACATGAAGACATGAAAGTGTCTATTTTGAGCCGGTTAGCTGAGTAATTCCTACCCGCTGGGTGAATCACAAGGGAACATGTTTCCTGTTGTGCCTCACACATGGGGCTGACATACGGTGCTCAGCTATTAACGTCACCTTACACGGGTGGTAATGCCGCTGACAAAAAAACCAAATTCCTCTGCTGTGTGATTAACCTGTTTTGTGTATATAAGGAGCTCTTCAGAGTGACTGGTACCGCCTCATTCAAAGCTGCGTGGTTTAACAGAATCCTTTGCACCTGCCTGAGACATAACAGTCCAAACGGAGAGATGATTAAGTTTCCTTTGTGCCTGTTTAGTTCCCAAGGTTGCACCAGTTAATGTGAGTGGTGGCGGAGGAGCTCGAGGAGAACTTGTCATCGTGTGGGAGGTAAGAGGATCATGGGCATTTTTGAGGGGGCATTCATTGTGACAGAGCATTCTCTGAATCTTTTGACGAGAATGGACTTCTGGCAGAGTTACTGTGTCGGCAGTGGCCTGGCTTCAGTGGAACAGCTTTTAATTAAAGGCAGAGCTTTTCTGATTTGCTGCCTGCTGACTCCCACTGTTGTGTAAATCAACGTGGAGATACGGAGCCAGTGCAAATTTCATATGTGTAAATCTAGGATTGGGTGACAACTTTACATTTTTTGGATGTGGTTCAGAGTGCAAAAAAGATGCTGTATCAGTACATTTGCTCAACAGTTTGTTAGGCATAAAACACTATTTCAACTTTACTTTTTACAACTCCCTCATTTAATTTCTGCTCACAGTTGTTTGGGTCAAAGGCGTAACTCTTCCATCCCTATCTCAGCCAGTTCCAGAGGAACAGCAGAGCGGAGAGGACTTTGGCTATGTCGTGGCTTTCCGCCCACTTGGCAGCACCACCTGGATCCAGACAGTGCTGGCATCACCTGATGCATCGAGGTATATTTACAGAAATGAAAGCATCGCACCCCTGTCCCGGTTTGAAGTGAAAGTGGGAGTTTACAACAGCATAGGAGAGGGGCCGTTCAGCCGAGTTGTCAGAGTGTTCTCTGCAGAAGAAGGTGAGTGTGTTCACTCGTGCCTTGTGAAAACAGAAATAAAGTTGATCATATAAATTCAAGAGATGTACTCTTAATTGCAAACATGTATAATTCATGAACCATCCTATTTAGAGCCCTCTGAGGCACCATCAAGAGTTTGGGCCCGCGCTTTGTCAGCCTCTGAGATTGAGGTGTACTGGGAACCAATTCCCCCCGGGGCCAGCAGGGAGAAGATCATCGCATATGAGGTATGAAAAAGAAAAGTTGAAATAATAGTGCCACAAGGAATATTCAAACAAGGAGTAGACATTAATCCCAGAATGACTGACAGTACAATAAGCTGGCGTTCATTTGAATGGAACCACCGGTGGCGATAACGTGGAAGTATTCTGACATTGAAATACTGCATGTGTTGGAGCGGCCGATTTTTCACAGGCTAATCTAGGGGATGAAGAGGTCTGTTGGCAGCTGTTCCAGTCTCCAGAAGACCTCAATACCAAGGCTGTCTGAGAGTTTCTCTTCACAATAATAAATAAATAAAAGAAAGTGTGAACATCATACATCACTATCCTATACAACAAACACTCTCCTGGGATTTGACTGTAGAGAACCTAGATAAAAATAACAGTCTCTCCTAAACCCCAGATATAATATGGTACGGTATGCCCAGGTGGCTTGACCTCTGCTGAGAAGCTTTGAGGTCATTGCCAGTGTTTGGTACACACATTGTTATAAACAGCAGTTTGAAGCAACATGATGATGTGTTTGGGAGGTTGATAGAGCAGTTTTGCTGAGCTCAGTGCTGAAATAATAATAAGTAAAATCATGTTACAAATTTGCTCCATTATAAAAATGCGCAGCTCCTTAACAAGAGCAGTGTGTAGGAGTTAGTGGCATCTAAAAGTGCGGTTTACAGTTTGCAACTACTTGAAACTTCCCCCATGTGCCAAACATGAACTCCTGGTTAGAATTATTTCAGTGTTCATTGTTTAGGAGGTTTTTACCAGGAGCTAAATTATCCTCAGAGGTCTCCTCCTCTCCAAAATAAATTGACCCATTGATTTAAACTGGTAAAAGCACTAAATAAAACAGTTTTACCTTACAGAGCAGTGTATCTCCGACACCAGTATCAGCTTATGTGGGCTCACCTTTTTACTCTGATAAATAAAGATCTAGATGATCGGGAGGTTTGTACCAGAAGCCAAATTATCTGCCATCTAAGAGCTGAATGATCCGTAGAGGTCTCCTCCTCTCCAAAACAAACAAAGCCAGTGATTTAAACCAGTAAAAACACTGAATAAAAAAGTGACACATTAAGAAATCAGTGTTCTTACAACACCTCTCATTGCGAAGGGGCTGCTTACTATGGTGGCAGATACAAAAATGTGAATTGCCCCATCTAGAGCCAGTGTTTGGTTTGTCCATTCTGATGGCACTGCAGCATGGCAGACTCTGTAGACAGGCTCTGAATATGGATATAAACAGTACATTCTAAGATAACAAAAACAAAACTACTTTTAATTTCAGGTGATTTTATACTTAAGAAAACATACCTATTATATTCCATATTTACCAATATATCCCCCTAAATCCTACACATTGGACTTTTAAATGTTGAAAATGATTTATCAGTATTTGTATATTCCTGTCTGAAAGACAGCGACACACAATATCTCACTGTAGGAATCATATTTTTGCAGCACCAGCTTCATCTGACAAGACTGTCAACAACATGTGGGTAGATATTAATTTAAAATCTCACAATAACAAACTTCTTTAAACAAGTCCACTGGGTTTTGGTGACATATTCTAATGGATCTAATCTAAGCATTAATTGCGTCTCACATCATGTGTCAGTGGATCACTTAAGTTGCCTGGGCACAATGCCAGCAAGTGTATTGTACAAGGCTGCTACAGTCAGTTCTGTTTCACTTTGGTGTCTAATTAAAGTGATATAGTGACTGCAAACCACTCAGTAATTATCAAATATTATATTCTGGATGAACAGATGCGTTTAGAAAGTGACTAATTTCATATTTTCATAGGTATTTAGTTTCAGAACTTCATCACTGTTTAAAGTTAGAGAAAGAGTTTGACATTAAATCACACATGGAAGATGTTTAACTACTTTAATGGAGGAGATGACTTAATTTCAACTAGTGATTTAGTTGAATGGATCAGGTCAGTAGTCATTGCTGGAGAGTAGTGTGACAATTGTAATATTCATGATGGGTGACATACAGTATCTGTGGAAAACAGTCATGCATTTAGATGTGAACAGCTACAGGGCTTTTGTCACTTACGTTTCTTGCCGTGGGTTGACTCTAACTAGCCTGGCATCAAATTGGTGTGGAACCTCTCAATTCATTTTTGATATCTAAGGGGCATTATCAATAGCTGTAGATGGATAGACCTGTAACCAATCAGGGCAACAGAATATGTCACATAGCTGCATCATCGTGTCTGTGATACAGTGTTGCCATTTGTGCATCAGAATTTGAAAATAGAACTTCAGCAGCTATTTGCACATCGGCTGCAGCCATCTTAGTTGGTTGTGAAAATGTCTCAATGGCGCTCCACTTTTCTAAACTAGGTTTATGCTCGCCATAGTGTCCCTGGTGTGAGCAAGTAGGTGTAGTTGCAGCTGGAGCAGCAATGTGAGCTGTCCACCAGCTACATGACTCATCCACCATACCTACGAGTCAGTTCATAATCACTCCTTTCGCCCCTTGGTCCGGAAGCGGAGACCCTTAGGGAAATGCTAAGTTAGCATTTAACTAGCTCTGCAGTGTTTGATTAAAAGAGACACAGTTAAGGTAAGGGTAAGGGTTACCTCTTGTTAGGGTCAATTATGTCCCCATGTATAAGGAATTATAAAGGGTATTATTGCTGTGTTTGCCTCTTTTTTTAATTTTTTTTTCTCGTTGTAGCAGAGTTTAAATAATCATCGCATTGTTGGGTTTGTCTTGTAATGGTGGTGGGTGCCATTTGTTGTGTCGTGTAGGCTCTGAATAGCATGTGGCTGCAGCTGTTCATGTTTCTGTGAGGGTGTGCAAGCCAAAAATGACATCATTTTTCATTAGTGCTAAGGCTCCTCAACTTGTCAGCCATTGCATCAGACCCACCCCTTATTAGATAAACTGTTATGCTTGGCCCTGACCAAGGCCTGGTTGGGTGAAAATCTGTTTGACTGGAAAAGGGACCAGACACATCTGCCACGGTAAATAAAACATGAGCTCCACATTGATCTAGTTCCCAGGCTAAACTCTAACTACAACTTGCAGGGATTTGATTAGACAGTAAAGTGGTTTCTGACCTTAACCCTGTGCTTTCATGGTGTGACCCTGAAAAGCCAGAGATAATACTGCCCTGGAGTGTGATTTTGGCCAACCTCCCAAGGGACAGTGCTTTTCCAGAGGTTATGTCTCATTTCAGTAAGGGCATCATTTATTTTGATATTGGTTATAGTGACAATTTGGCTCATCCCACTGCAGTTAGACTGAGGGGACAATGAAGTGGTAGTACACAGAAGAACATCTCAAGGTGTGGAGTGTGTAAGTAAACAATATGCCTCAGTATTAATAACTTCAACCAGCCCTTCAAGGACTGATTTGGCCTATTTATGCCCAACTCTGCACACTACCACAGTTATTTTCACTAACACATCTGTGTCATAGACAGTTTTGTTTTCCCCACAAGGACAAGTTCCCCATATACCCTAAAGTTGTTCCTGACATTAAGACTTCCTCATCCCTCCAGTAGATTAGTTCCCTTCTAGCTGTCAGGGGAATGATCACCAGGGAATCACCATGTGCACTGACACGTATACCTGCAACAGCCTCAGAACCCCTCTGGTTATCAGTCTGATGACAATTTAGCCTCTGGGATCAACGGCTAATATTTCAAGGGTTCTGGATAACAGATAGTGGAAGTCTTGGATAGCCAAGACTAATGTAACATCAGTGACATCACCGCCACCTTTCTAAAAAAGTTCAGAGATTTTCAACTCAAAGCACTTGGAGTGGCTGCACAAAAGGAGTCTTACTCCAAAGTCATTGAAATCTGGCACTTGGTTAGTGACTTTAGGCGTCAGATACCAACGAAAAAAGCTGTCCTTTCATATTGCTATGATAAGCCGCCAGTCATCAGCGCCAGGGGGAAAAATGGAAAAGTTAGGGCAGCAAAAGTCCAAATAGGGTGGTCCAACAACCACCGACTTTCACCTGAGAGGCCAGTGTTAGTTTCCCGTAAGATTGTAAAGCCACATCCTGTTCTTTCTTCCTAATCCCACCCACATGCTTTCATTGCCTAAACCCATCCATGCGTGTTACCACGTGCATTTGTTTTGGAAAGAGTTACCTTTTCTCTAGGTGGCTGTATGTAGCTGCATATGCTCACTCCTCAGTAAGAACAATAAAAAAGACGCTGGTGCTGACAAAAAAAAACAAAAAAAAACACTATGTGTACACATGCCCTTTGTGTCACCAATTCAGTATCTGACCAAATGTCTCCCCTTCTGTTCCTGAGATATGGTGTTGAAAAATGGCCCTAATATTATGATGTCACAGTCTGCCTTTGGATATAAAATGTTATCACTTCATTATTTTATCCCATTAGACATTTGTATGAATTTTTGTCATAATTAGAATATGAATTCTTGAGTTATGGCCCAAAACATGTTTTGTGAGGTCACAGTGACCTTTGATCACCAAATTAAAACCAGTTTATTGTTAGGTCCAAGTGGATGTTTGTGCCAATTTGAAAAAATTCTCTCAAGGTGCTCTTGAGATAGCGTGTTCATGACAATGGGATGGGCAGGCAGCCTGAAAACATAATGCTTCCAGACTATAGTTAATGGGTTTTGAAATTGCATTGCGGCCAATGTGTTGCGCCTCTATTGCTCTCCACACAAACTGTTTACCTGCATACAACCAAAGCCCACTCAAACGTGATTGGTTAATACTACTAGACTACAAAATGGTCAACAAACAAAAACCAGAACAATACCAAAATCTTGCCCCGTTGCCTACAGATTCTGCATTCATATGCAGATATCTGTTTATAGAGACTATGGCGGCTATGATTAATGGCCACTTGGGGGGCAGTGAAAACAAACTGTCAACATAAATGTATATGTTGCTCTGCTGGATGTGAAAATGTGTAAATTTGTAAATTATATATATAATTTACAAATTTACACATTTTCACATCCAGCAGATACAGAGCAACATTTACATAAACCACACCC